AAGGAGAATGCCAAATGTATGAAAAAAAATCCCCTGCTCAGTTTGAGGCTGGCAAGTATCACAAACTATTCTGAGGTCTAAGTATGGGTGAATGTGTCTATTTTCTTTTTAACCAATTCTTTTCTAGTTTGTTAGTTCGTACATCATTCTTTTCTGTTTTTTTTTTTTTCCTTTTTCTTTAAAACAGGATGATGCCCCTTTCATCACAGACACTGATGATGAATCTTCATCATGGCCAAACACAAGAATACGTGATCAAACCCAAATATTATCCAGTAAAAAAAGTGGTTTCGGGAGAACAGTCCACGGAGGGCTCACTACCACTGAGATTGGGCCAGGATCAACTTGTATCACCTTTTCAATGTGAGTATAACTGCAAAAAATATACCTTCCTCTGCATTCATTCCCTGCTGAGCTCCCCGCTGTTAATATCTTGAGAATTTCTTATGTCCATCTGAATTTTGGTAACACGTCAGCACAGATAAAAGTCAAAATAATTAAAAAGATGATAATTCTCAGATTAGTAAATGCGCCAACATTCTGCATCCTGTTGAGAGGAAAAACAGATTTCCAGCATGATAGCTTTTCTTTCAGATAAAAGCTGCTTTGTGAACACTTGGTAGGGTAGGTATAACAAAGTGTAGTCAGCATGAGATGACGGCTTCCTTTCGTATGAAGTAAAGCTGGAGCTCAGGATTGTGGTCCCAATGGTGACTGTTTTTCTCTGTATTTAATTTATTATGTGTTTATGAATTTCTGCACAGTATGGAGGCTGCATGAGAATTCCTATTTCATTTTTATAAAAAATGAATGCATAGGTGCCCAGCTTGTGGCCTTGGCTCATGCCCCATTGTGAGGGGGGCTCAAGGACAAGATTTGGCTTAAAATAGGAAGAATTTGATGAATTATGGGTTAGGTATTAGAGAGCGTCTGCTGGTTTGGAGAAAAGTTCCTGCAGTTAAGTCACGTACCGATGAACATGGGGAACTAAGGTGCTTAGCAATCTCCTGACAGGCTTCCTCTGCTATAGCACGGAGAAATATGTTCTGCTGAGGGTTTAGGAAGATCTTCTAAATATGCAAATATGATTTCCTTGTGTGAGTATCTTTGCGTTTTGTGTTGTACATTCTTATGATCTTTCCACTTATGTAACCCCTGCTTGCTTTTCTGCAACTGTAAATGCACCGACTCTTAATTAGAATCTCAGACCTGATGGCAAGAACAGTGGGCAGACTCTAGATGAACTTTCTCAGTGCTAATTCAGAGCAAGTGTACTACTTGCAAAATACTACATCCCTTCCTCAGAAGGCTTAAGAAAGAAAGCAGATGTCATTGTATTTTCTTCCATCTAGTTTTAAATTTCCTCTAAATAAGATATCAGTGGCCACCAGTATTGGATTGCATCCTTTTCTTCTAACTTCTAGCAGCAAAAAGGCATGTAAATTCCAGGTTATACACTTTCCCTATACTTGCAGTGAATGCTGCTGAGAATTTGGCAGAGAAATCCTAACTTTTGCCCTTCTCCTCAGGCTACTTGACTGTTTCAGTTTGTCTCAGTAATCAGTGTTACTTGCAAGGGTAGATGTTGGTCCTTCAGTAGGGAAAAATGGTAGACTAGCTTCCAAACTGCCACTAAACAAGCAACCTGCATGAGGTTTTTCTCCTATCCTAGTGTGAGGAAATAACTCGGTGCAGCTGTTGGCACACCTGAGGCACAGGAGTTGCTACTCCAGCTCTTTCTCAGCTTTTCTTATGGGAAGTGCTCTGTTTATTGCAGTACTTGAGAGAGACAGCTGTGAGAAGCTAGGAGCTGAAGCTGAAAAGTATTATAAAACCCTAATAAGCCTCTGAGTGCATGGTTGGTTAGTAAAATATCCTGCTTTTACAGGAAAGCCTGTGGTTCTTAAAACACTTGAGGGACAGATAATTAAAACAGATTATCAGGCATGACTTAAGTGTTGCCTCTAGTAGCGAAGTGCAGGTTCATGTCCAAGACTGGACATGGTATGGGAATTTCTGATATTGGGCTTCTGAGCACTACCTGTTTTACCTTCACTACTGTGTGTGTGAGTTGGGAGACGGTGATGGTTACAGCTTCTGATAAAACAGTTTGGAAGTCTGCTAGCAAAGAGCATAGTTTGAGCTGCATGTTTTTAGAATTTAAGATCGTATATCTTCAGTTGGAATAGCAGGCCTAGACTGGGCCAGCTATATGTGTTTAGTTTGGCTTTTGGTTTACAGAGGTGCTGAAATAGACTCCAGTAACAGAAGACTGTTGCTTCCATCAAAATCTAATGTCATACTTCAGCTGTCAGTGTTTTAATGTTACGGAAACTTGAATTAATTACAGTGAGGTAAGCTTAGGATATGAAATCTCATGTCAGGCATTTTGTGATAACCACCAATACACAGTTCCTAGCCTTGCCTTTTTAACTAAGGGATGAGTTGCTTCAAGTTAGTTCATGCAATTATTTCAGGGTGGGTGTTCATCATATAGTTGCTACATGGAAATTGATGAGAGAGTGGCTGGTGACCCCATGGTATTTTGTAACTGCTGTTAGGTGGAAGCCTTTTATTTTATTGAGCAAATGAGCGTGTGGTGGCAGTGTGGAGATCTTCACTTGAAACTAAAGAGGGGAAATGTAATAATTTTGTTAAAATGCAAGATGAGGAAGTTAATGTTGAACACTCAAACTCTTTTTTTTTAGTTAATTAAATATTTTTCTCAGGTATAAAGTGGTTAGGTATATAATGAGGTGGATTAGGTAATATTTGCTGATGCTCTGCAGGAGTTCATAGTTATCAATGCACGTAGAGTGCAGAACAAAAGCAAAAAAGCAAAAGATTGTAAGACATTTAAAATCTTGCTGTTTGTCAAAACAGGAAAAAAAAAGTGGTAGTTTATTTTGTATATAGTTTCATGCTGAACTTTTTGTCCCAAAATCTTTGTAAATCTTGAAATAGTTTTTTAACGAAAAAGGCAATTGTTGTTTCATATCATTTAGTTTAAAAGTGCTTTTCTGAGATTATCCCACATTAAAGTATTTATTTTCTTTTACGACACTGCATTTTAGAACTTTTCATCTTTCAGAGCCACGTCAGTTTGTAGTAGTCTGAGCCAAGGGTGTGCCAGATAACATGAGGGACTATAAACTGGCTAAAAGCAAGCAAGTTATGGTTGATATTAACTTACAAGAACAACACAGTGGCTTCGAAGTGCTCTTCTACCAATATGTTGATCTTCTGGGAAAAAGGCTGATGAAAGATCAGGAAACATTTGCTTCCTCCTAGATGTTCCTGCCCTGAAGAGGATTGAGAATTGCCCATATTCTTTCATTCATGGGGCTATATGAGAGTCACCAAAAGATGCTGAAGTGTTTTTAATGTGTGTGGGGTTTTTTGTGGGTTTTTTTTTTTTTTTTAAGATAGTTAGAGATTTTTTTGGTCTTGTCAAAAATCCTTGGTGAAATACGGCAAGGAGTCAATAAAGAAGAATTTTAGATAGGCAGAAAGTAAGAATTTCTTTGGAATTTAAGTGGTACAAGCCACAGAATGGTTAATAAATACAGGATTACAGTATGCTACATTGACTTAATTGCATGTGTGTTGTGGCTTGAAGTTGGCCAAGTCTGCATGTATGGGTGGTAGTGTTTTAAAATCTACCCATGATTCTGAGGGCAGAATTTAGTTCTTTGCATAAAGAAGAAGCAGAAACAATCACATGCAAAATCATGCAGCAACTGTTCTTAATTACTGACAACTTAAATTGCCTCATTTTACATTGGCATTTTTTATATTTTTATATACATGAAATATGATTGATGTGGAAGAAAATATATCAAAATATATAGCGCTTATGTGAAGAATACAATTACGTAAATATGTTACAATTTTGATAAAACAAAGGTTTACCTACTACTGGAAGCATAGTACACTGATAACTCTCATTTAAGATCATACAGAATTTACACATACTGTTTTACTGATTACTTCATAGGTTGATTTTAATAGAAACAGGTGTTGCTTTAAAATTCCCGTTTACATTATTTTTGTGGAACTGTACCATTCTGACTTCACTACGTGACACTTACATCATAACACCATTTCCCCATCAATAAATATGGGAAAACAGCTGTAAAGTACATAAATGTTCTACTGGTGGAAAAAAAAATGCATTCTGAGATATGACACACATGCCATGTAAATGCATCTGTGTGACCTGATGTTCACAATTAGTCATTCAGTGGATGTTAACTCCATGGAAAAATCTTACCAGGTCAAAGGTAGTCCAGATATTGTTTCCCCTCTTCTTGATAATTCACTGTGGAACATTGCATAAGCAGCAAAATAATTATCTCACGTGCTTTTTTTAATCGGAGCGTTTTACAGTGTTCATTTGCTGAAGTTTCTGCCAGGGAGCGTGCGTATGTTTTCTTCAGAACTTAATTCTGGTATCTTTTCTATATGGCACTTCCAGGAAATTTAAGAGGTTAAGGAAGAATGTTGTTATGGCTGTGCTAAGGCATAACAAGGCATAGCTAGCAGCATGAGGTGGATATAAGGAGGACAAGCAGTTTGAAGATTTAACAGGCCGAAGTATCCCAGTAACTGAAAAATCACCCTATGGTCTTATCTGAAGAGACTGTAGAATCAAATTCACTTCAGTTGCTCATGGGAACTGACATTCATGCCTTACTCCTGAGGCTGTACATGATCAAATACGAACGAGCGGTAACGGGTGCAAGTTGAAACACAGGAAGTTCCACCTCCATCTGAGGAAGAACTTCTTTACTGTGAGGGTGACAGAGCCCTGGAACAGGCTGCCCAGAGAGGCTGTGGAATCTCCTTCTCTGGAGATCTTCCAAACCCGCCTGGATGCCACCCTGTGCCACGTGCTCTAGGTGACCCTGCTGGATCAAGGAGGTTGGACTAGCTGATCTCTAGAGGTGCCTTCCAACCTCAACCATTCTGTGATTCTGTGTAACCATTAAGTTTTCTTTTTTTCTTCTCAAAAGGCAAAATGCTTTTTAAATGTGATGCGCTTTTTTTTTTTTTTTTTTGGTAAGAGGAGGCAGGGAAGTTTTTATAGTACATTCAGAAATGTTCCAGAATGACTGTTTTTGGTGCAGCCGGCATCAAGCAACAGTGCAGTTTTGCTAACAAAGTCTGAACAATTTTAGTAAAGAATCTTTTTTTTTTTTTCCATTTGTATACATTTCCCACACTGCTTTTGAAAGCCATGACAATTCATAAAAGTCATTTAGAGCTTGTATTTGATTCCACTGGGGCTGGAAAACAAGAGGCTAATCTTCAAGTATAAATTGCTTTACTGGCTTGACATTAATGCAGTTGGCTCTGTAGAA